GTTATCATTTAGAATTGAAGGGCAAATAAAGTGCTTTCCCGACAAAAACAAACTAAAGAAGTTCATCATTACCGAACCATTATTACATGAAATGTTAGAGACTTATTTAAGAGAAAGATCAAAATTATGAACAATAAAATGGCAATAAATACATATCTATTAATGCCTGAATCTAAAAAACAAACTAAGCATACATAGAGAGTGTTTTTTTCCTTTTTTTTCCCTTTTTTTCTTTAATTATTGTTCAAGTACAGTTTTCTGTTTTTTACTCCCATCCCAGCCCACCCCCGCAGTGCTCCCCACCTCCCTCCCATTTCCACTCCCCTTAGTTGTTGTCCATGTGTCCTTTATACTAGTTCCTGTAAATCCTCCCCCTTTTTCCCCTGAAATTCCCTCCCCTCTCCCCTCTGGTCGCTGTATGCCTGTTCTCTATTTCGGTATCTTTGTTTTTATTTTGCTTGCTTGTTTGTTTTGTTGTTTAGCTTCCTGTTAAAGGTGAGATCATATGGTATTTGTCTTTCACCACTTGGCTTATTTCACTCAGCATAATGCTTTCCAGTTCCATCCATGCTGTTGCAAAGGGTAGGAGCTGCTTCTTTCTTTGTGCTGCATAGAATTCCATTGTGTAAATGTACCATAATTTTTTGATCCATTCATTTACTGATGGGCACCTAGGTTGCTGTGTTTTGATGGTTGCCAGATGGGAGCGGGATGCTGGAGAATGGGTGAGGGGAGTAAGAAGTACAAATAGGTAGTTACAGAACAGCCATGGGGATGTAGAGTACAGTATAGGAAATGAAGTAGCCAAAGAACTTATATACATGACCCATTGACACGAACAATGGTGTGGGGACTGCCTGAGGGAGTGGGGGGTGCTGGGTGGTGGGGGGCAAAGGAAGAAAAACTGGGACAACTATAGTAGCATAATCAATAACAATAATTAAAATGAGAGAAATCTAGGTAGCTAATGAATCAATGTTATAATCTATGTTTAATGTATATAGTTTAAATAAATTACATTTCAATAATTAAGCTCTGAGTACTGTAAAAATTATAAAGTATACTACAGTCCCATTATAATCTCTTCAGGCTTCAAGCTGTGAGATATCACTAGACAGACCTGTCATAATAAGTTGCCCTTCTAAGGCCCTTCTAAGTTCTGAAATGTCTGTGACCACAGTCTATGAGAAAAATGCCTTTAAGGAATCTTATGCAAGAGCATGTTAGCATGTGGCAACACACACACAAATATTTTAACATTCTGGTGCCTTGTCACAGTAAAGACTTTATCAAAATCTAGGATGAAAGGAGAGAGGGCTTCATATTTATTTATTGTGCTATCTACACACCCAAACACTGTGCTTTGTATTTTTCATATATCACCTAATTTAATCCTCACAACTCCAGAAAGTATTATCATCTTATTTCTACAGATTGGGAAGCTAAGTCTCAAAGAAATTATATAGCTTATTTAAAGTCACATAATTTATAATGCATGAACCTGGGACTTGAACCCAAGATTTAAAACTACTGGACTTTCCTTTATGCCATGTTGCTATCACTCAAAAAATTTAGAGTAAAAGCGCTCTTTAGCTTCCCAGGAATTTCCTTAGCAAACCAAGTCACTCACTCACTACTTGTCCACTCTGTGTCTAAAACTGCTGGGCTCTATTCATCCATCCATCCAATCACCACCTACCATCACCAAATAGATAATGAGGTGCCTGCTATGTACCAGGCATTATGCTAGGCACCAGGGACACACTGATGAGTGACAAAGATGTCCTCAAGTCGTTTGGCATAGAGGAAAGAGTCAGCAATTATTGTCATACAAACTGCATACACAGCAATTACAGTCATACCACCTGTGCGTGGTACCATTGTGGCATCTAACAGGGGTGTCAAACTCAGTCTGGAAGGTTGAGGAAGGTTTCTCCGGGGGAAATGATGACTGCATAGTCAGATGATCTGGAGAATGAGGGAAATTACTTTGGTGAAGATTTCCATAGATTGAGGGAGCACTATATACAAAGATGCTGTGGTAAGAGAACGCACTGCATGTCTGAAGACATGGAAGAAGGGCCCTGTGGACGTAGCAGAGAGAGCAAAGGGAAGCGCCACAGTGCTCGGGGAAGAGAGACAGGAGCCGGGCTTGCGGGCCATGTAGAAGAGTCTGACTTTTATCCTAAGAGCAGAGGGAGGCCACTGACTGGTTTTAAGAAGGGAGGTAACAGGATCAGATTTACATTTTCTAAAAGCTCATGCTGAAATGGGGGGAACTAACCCAGAGGAGGAAAAAACAGATACAGAAAGATCAGTCAAAAGGCTACTAAAGTAGCTCAGGCAAGAGATGATGCTGTCTTAGTCTAAAAAGGTAAGAGTGGAAATGAAGAGAAGTGGATAGGTTTGAGATACGTTTAGGAGTATAAAAATGACTTAAAATAACTTGAATAGGGAAAGCAAGACAGATGAATACTTCACAAATTAGTTACTGGCTCGTACAATGAGATGGACAGAGAATACTAAAAGGTCAAACTTGGGGGGAGGACAGGAGAAGAGGAGCAACCCGCGGGTTGGTTTTGGGTGTTAAGTTTGGGATGCTTCTGAGACATGTAAACGGCAACAGGAGTCCAGAGCTCAGAGAAGTCTGGATTAGAGACATAAATTTCTGAGTTATCTGAAAAGAACAGTAAACTATGGATAGGGATGAAATCACCCATGGAGAGAAAGAACTCGGATGGAGTCTTGAGGAATCTCAACATCAAATGATTAGTGGAAGAGAAAGAACCTGCAGAGGGTACTAAGAAAGAACCACCAACTGAGAAAGGAGGAAAACTGGGAGTATGTGATGTCACAGAAGCCAAGGTAGAAGAAAGTTTTCAGAATAAGAAAGTCAAGAATAGGGCTGAATACTGAGAGGTGAAGTACGCCTGTTGGACTTAATGACGTGATAATTCGCACAGACTCCAGAAAGCACAGCTAGAAAGTGGCGTGACGGGTGGAAGTCACGTTCGAGAGACGGAGCAATGAGCCGTAGATGCCGTGGTGGTGATTAAAAACTCACTTGCCAAACTGAAAAAGGTAAGAATTTCATGTGAGAAAGCAAAACTCACACAGAAGCTACAAAAAGTAGACATAAATCTACCAGTTTTACTAACTCTTTAAATGCTCTAGAAATCTAGAAAGGGGAGGCTCACGGTGACTGGTAACACAGGATAAGTCTTCACAGAGAAGGAAAGCCGTAAGCAGGTTAAGAAGTATAAAACTGAACCAAGGAAAATTTAGGAAAATTTCCTCAATTTAGGAAAATTACATGAGAAGACTACATGGCGTGTGTGGGTGGGTAGTGGGGAGATGGGAGTGGGATGTGGTGGAGTGGTAAAAAAACTAAGAGATACATGGCCCTCTGTATTGTGATGCAAGCTTAATACTGAATTATGTAGGACTATATATAATCCATGCCCTAGTCTCTCTTATTTTTTGCTGCCAACCTGTTGGCCAATTCATTTCTCAAAATCAATTATACCAGAGGCTTATTAGGGAAAGAAAAAAATAGGAAATCATAAATTAATTGTGTTGCTCATTTGATTCAGACAATGCTGTGTGAAAGGGGTAAAATCAATGGCTAAAATGCAACTTGGTATTTGTGATTTTGAGGCAATGAGATTTGAGGAAAGAACGGGGGATTCAGCCCTGACTGCTATATGGCTCAGTTGGTTGGGCATCATCCTGCAAAGCGCAAGATTGCAGTTTGATTGCCTGGTCAGGGCACATGCCTGGGTGTTGGGCCCAGTCCCAGTAGGGGTGCGTGCAAGAATCAACCGATCAATGTATCTCTCACACACTAATGTTTCTTTCCTTCTTTTTCTCCCTCCCTTCCCCCATCAAACAAACAAACAAACAAACAAACAAACAAACGTAGACTTCAGAGCCAGAGGCAGTCAGGTTTGAATACTAACTCTGTCACTGTTTGTAGCCTTGGGAAATGCAACTGCTGTCTCTGCATCTCTAACATGAGAGAAAAATTAAGTTTCTTGGCAAGGTGTTTCAGGACTTAGAGATGAAATGGTAACGCTTGGTTCACGGGAATCTACTAATTGTTGGCTACTACTGTTTTAGTAATACTGTTAAGAGAAAAACAGGAAACACATGCAATGAGATAACCTTGTATACCCTAAGATGGGGATGTTTTATTTACTAGCGGGTCCTGATCTACATTTTTCTGCTGGTATTTATATAAAGAGAAGTGCAAAGCACCAAATAGCAAAGTTTAGTTTTCAAACTGTTTTTGAGCTAAACATATTTGTATCATAATCTTTTATAATTAATGATATTAAGTATATAACTATTCAGTACATATTTAAAGAGTCAGATATATTCTTACTTCATATACTGACAATTTTGTAAAGAAGCAAAGAAGAGACAAAAAAGTAAACCAGAAGAATTAAAAAAGCAACTAAAGTTAGGAATGAAAAAAAGAACAGAGGATAAAAAGGCTAAAGAGAGCATGGAGAGAGAGGAAGAGAGAGAGAGAAGAGGGGACAGGAGAGCGCTGGCAGGAGAATCTGCCCAGACTGCTCCTACCCCTGGGGTGCCCGCCCTCCCCTCACTGTTTGCATCTGACAGCCTCTGCCGGCCGTGCTGGCTCTTCCTTTCCCCTGCCCAACACACTCCCCCCACCGCAGCTCTGAAGTTTCCCATCCAGTACTTAACCGGACAGCACACCTGCTTTTGCTATACAGTGATCTAGGCTACTTCCTTTCAGTTATAAAAAGCAAAGCAAAACGAAACATAACATACCTACATTTGCATCTGCTAAACTTAAGGACACCTCTGGCTTAGAAATGAGGAAAATCTAGAGATGGCCTTTGAGAAATTTATCATTTTAAAAGATGTAAAGTGATGAGTTTAAGAAAGTACGCTAAAGAATAAAATTAAGTCAAGGGAAAAACCCAGACCCCGAGATGACTAACCCCGATTCATTTAGTGTCTTTCCTTACCGTGCGCTGAGGCCCATCTTCATTATCCCTCATGTAGAAAGGCTTGAGTGCTAATGGATAATTAATGACAAAGACTGGTATGTTGCCACAGTGCTTCACCAGGTACTTTTCATGTTCAGTATGCAGATCAACGCCCCACTGCAAGGAGAGGGAAAAAAGAGATTACCAAAGGAGAAGACAGAGCTGAAATGTACAGTGCCAGACCTGAAAATAACCTGTACCGGTTCTCTCCCTGAGGATCAGCAATGTGCGGAGCTGTCTGCTGAGGTTACACAGACAGCTAAACTAGACAGAGGTATGTGTTAGCAAAAACATCCAAAGGCCGGAAAAGATGAAAGCTAAAACTAGCAGATAAACACTATGTTCTCTGCCGCCCATCTCAGGGAGCAGCGTTTAGCAGGTGAATAGCATGTTCAGGAAAACAAAGTGCACTTTCCCCAGTGTATAAAAGTGACCTCAAGACTCATAGTTTTTATTAATATTGCCTAGAGCTTCTTCTACAGCTTCTGTTTCTAAGTCTCAGGAAATTAAATGATGAAAGATAATATTTCTAATATTGAGTCCATCTTTGGCTAGATGGCTTCTCTCAGTGAATTTTTTTAATAAGAGTCAAATGATATATCAGATGCTTTCTTATGAATATTTAATAACACTGTTGATCTATTTATTTGGCAAATACTCAATGTGCCTATTAAATCTTAGGTACCATGGTAGGTATTAGATACAGTGGCAAGAAAAATAGAATCCTTGACTTCATAAAACTTCCAGAGTATGAAACAAACATCAAATACAAAATTATACAAAGAAATTAATTGATTACAAACATAACAAGCACAGGGCACTATTATAACTTATAAGAGCATCTGAAAATTGGGGTTGGGACTGATGTAAGAGCTGGTTTGAAGACAAAGGTACTGCGTTCTAAACATTAATGTACTGCTCCCACCTGTCTGGCAATACCTTAGTTACGGGGAGGAGGTACTGGCACAGGAATGAGGAGACTGGCCTCCAACACTATGTGCATGTTCACTGATGAATCGTGTGACCTCTATGGACCTAAATCTTTGCCAATAAAATAAGGGAGTTCTTAAAATAAAAACCCAAATAATTCAGTATTTTCCAGAGTGGATCACAAATTAGAAGACTATAAAGTTCAACAGAAAAAAGAAACCTGTTTAGTGTGTTGTTTAAACTCACTTAACCTCTTGCCTGTCACCTGTTAGCCTCTTTCACACTATACTTTGGGAAACACTGAGCGAGTTGATTTCTATACCAACAGTCCATGACTGCCATTCTTTTTAAGGATTTTCATCTTGCTAAACTTGGGAAACTTCTTTATAACCCTTTAGTTGCTGCTATAGCAAACAATATAATTCTACTTCAAAATTGTATTTCATTTTAAATATTTCAGCAAGGTTGAACAAACATTGAAAAAAGCCAATATACAGATAAGCAAATCCTGCTAATAAGAGAAATAAGGTTATTTTAAATGATAAGATAAGGATGAGGAAAGCATATTTACACACACACACACACACACACGCATACACAAATACTACCTCCGGGGTGAAGGTGAAGTTCTGAGATGCCCGCTTTAAGATCTCCACTGCTTCGGTATAAGAAATGCTGGAGAGAAACAGCAAAAGCAGAGAAAGGTCAATACAATGGTCAAACAATATGTGCTTGGCACTCTTCTAGGCACTGGAGATACAGTAAGTAAAAACAAAGATCCTGCTTTATGGAGATATCTATCTATCTATATATCTATCTATCTCTCTCCATATATATATATCTCCCCATACGTGTGTATGTGTGTGTGTGTGTGTGTGTGACGGGGGTACAGGTGGGGACCAAGATAAACAAATAAACAGAAATATGTAATATATGATGCCAGGGAACTATTGGGGTTATGAAGAAAAATAAAGCAAGGTGAGAAAACAGAGGACGATTGAGGGTGCTGTTTTAGAAAAGATGTCACCAAGTTGGCAACATCTGAACAGTAACCCGCATGAAGGAAATGAGCCATATAAATATCTGTGGGCAAGGATCCCAGGCAAAAGGAACAGTGGGTACAAAGGCCTGAAAGGAGGCCTGAGTCTGCTCATTCAAGGAACAAAAAAGTCAATGTGACCACAGTATACTGAACGGGGGAAGAATGCCCGGAAATTAGATAGGAAAGGTAGTCAGTCACAGGTCAGATCCTATGAACTCCTTCAGGCCAGTAAGGCCTCTTTAATACACTCTAAGCACGGTTTAGCACTGTTCAGGAAAACTGTCACTGGTCACCTTACTAAGAAACCCTCATGCCTAAGGCAAGCCAAGCCAAAAATTTATACAAACTATTTGAATAAATAATATATGAACATCATTTAAAAAATCAAGAGTATAAAAGAGCATTCTTCCCATTCCGTCCCACAGCTACCTAGTTAGTTCCTCTCCTTATACACTCGCCGTCAGTGGTGTTTTGGGTACCCTTCCAGAGGGTTTTATACATCTACAAGCAAATATTAATATACAATCTCCCTTTCTTAAAATAGATGGTAGCCATAGCACATACCATACATTTTTAAGTCTTTATTTACTCAGTAATATAACTAGCAGGTCTTTCCATATCAGTGTATGAAATGCTTCATTTTTTGAACTATTACATGTATCCTAATTATTTTTAAATAGTCATCTACTGATGGGTACTCCAGCCATTTCCAATCTTTTGCAATTATAAATCATTACTACATATACTTATTTTATACTCTTACAAATGATTCTTATATACTAGTTTTGCAAATAAAAAATGAAATTGTTGGATCTTTGGCAGTGTCTTTCGAAACATATAAAACTGCAAATGCACATATGCTTTACAGGCCTATACCAATTTGTGTCCACCAACGATATACGATAATGCCAGTTTCCCTAAGTCTTCTGCAACTGTGCTTTGGATGATTAAAAACAAAAATTCACTAAGTTCCTAAAGAACTTTGAGCTCAAACTATAACTTACCCAACACAAACATATTCTCTGAAAAAAATGAAGTTCATGCCATAATAACTAATCAGAAAGAGCCGTATCTTACAGTACAAATAAAGTCCCCAAAGCTATGTTTTGAGTAGTAAGTTTTTCTAACACAAGATTTCCACTCAAATTAAAAATCTAGCATTGAATAACATGTGATTTCTAAGGTCAGAATGGTGTTAGTGTTGGTAGTAATGGTAATTTTTAAACCACCATTTTACAGAAGGGAAGCTGAAGCTCAGAGAGGATCAGTAACTTGCCAAAAACGGCTCGTCTGAGTAAGTAGTAAACCCGGACATGCTGACTCCAGAGTCTAAGCTTTTAACAGAAGTAATGCCTCAACCACTTGGAGTTTCATCTGTTCAGTGAAAACAAAAGATTTGGGTTTTCCCTCTCACCCTACCACCACTTACTAGCTATGTAAATCACTTCACTTTAATAGAAGCATTTTATAAATTTTTTGTAACATGCTATAACACATTGAAAAATTAAGTATTATCACTTGTAAAAAAGGAGGCTGGATTATATTACCTAATGTTCTTTCTGCTTAGACATTCCATTGTTCTAGTCCATCATTACTTGATATGATCTATGCATTACATGGAGAAATATAAGAGCAATCAAAAAGGATTTTGTGCCATCGATATGTTACTGTTACATTATTAAAAAAATAAGTCTCATGTCCCAATGTCTCTTGTTATTCTGATATTCTGTCCTCCTCCCTCCACACCTCAAATTGAAACAGAACTTTCAAGTTCAAATTACAGGTCTGATACTGGATATTCCTAATGGCCTTCATCATTTCTCTCTAATTTTTGTCGGTATATATAGAGAGAATATTTCTTTTCCCTCCCAGAAACTATCTTCAAAGTGCTTTGAGGAAAGAATTTGAGAAGACATTGTGAAATAGCATGATACAGTATCAAAATACCTTCACGTTTCAAAATTTTAATTGTTGAATGAAGAAAATTACTATGAAGCTTTTGGAGTAAAACCGCTATGCTAAAGAGATCATTATTAGTATTCTTTGCCTCACATTCAAGGAGACAAAGAGCAAGTAAAAAGGTAAGGGCTCTATATTTTAAAAACCTTCATACCACAGCAGGGGTGTCCAACCTTTTGGCGTCTCTGGGCCACACTGAAGGAAGAAGAGTTGTCTTGGGCTGCACATTAAATATGCTGTGACACATAATCACACACACAAAAGTCTCATAATGTTTTAAGTAAATCGACGGTTTTGTGTTGGGCTGTGTTGGGCTGTGTTGGGCTGCGTTGGGCTACGTTCACAGCCGTCCTGGGCTGCACGCGGCCCGTGGGCTGCAGGACGGACACCCCCAAAAGGAAATGGGAAGTAGCTGAATTCTATTTCTGCTTGATAAAAGCTAAATTCAATTACTACACAAATCTTTTGCATAATATATATTTACATGAAACAACTATAACAAGTAGTCAAGAATACACTGAGACCTACTGAAGACTATAGTCACATGATGTTTTGTGCGTGTGTATTTCAGGAAGTATCTCAATTCTAACTCATCATGCCCAGGTCTACTGTCATGTCCTCTGCTGGCTGTTAAAATCTCTGGTTTCAGAGACTGGCTAACCCCGCTCCATCTCCACCTCCTTGAGAATCCGCAGCATCACGTCATTTTCGTGTATCCCTCCAGTGTTCAGGTCCTTATTCATTTCTAGCTCCTGGGACTTCTCTAGGGAACTCAACAAGGCATTTTAAAAAATGAAATGATTTTATAATATTTTAACTGGTGTTTTCGGATGGTTTGTAGCAGGAGTGTTTTCAAGTTATCTGCCACACTCTTCAGTAGTAGGCATTTGATGCTTTCACCAATATAAGGCAGACAAGCGGTCCCTTTATAGATGAGAAAACTGAAGTTCAGAAAGGTTAAGATTTACTATGAATCAGGTTCACAGTTGTAACTAAATAGTCATTCATGCAAATACTGGGCTATTTGTATTTTTCCCTAGACTTTAAATTCCATAGCAGGACCAATCCATGCCTATTTTCACTACTGAATCCTCAGTGACTGGCACAGTGCCTAACTCAAAGTAGGCAGTCAATAAATATCCACTGAAAAATATTAATTCACTCATTAATGGATAAAAAGTGGCAGAGGCAGGATTAGAATCCACCATACTCAGTGTCGACAGTAAACAGTGACAGGAGTTAACAGGGGCCCTCAGGGAGAGGACCTAGTCTGAAGGAGAACACCCTCAGCCCCACGGTCTCTCGGTTGTCACTTATTAATCCACTCAGTCATTCAATAGATATTTACTGAGGTCTTAAGCACTGAGGGTACAATAGTAAACAATCTAAACAAGCTCCTGACCACACAGAGGTGACAGACACCAAACAGTAACCACACACATACATTTAAAACTCAACTATGATTTGTGCTGTGTGGAATGGGTGACAGTAACAGCACAGCCCACAAGGTCATTTCCCCAACTTCAGTATTTTACAGACTCCTGGCACAACAGTTAAGTGATATATAAGCATCTTAAAGACAGTGGGGGAGTTACAACCACTCCAGCATTAATTTTAATGCCCTTTCAAATACAGGAAATACAGTGGCTGAAAGCTGAGCTTTGAAATCAGTCAAATATGAGTTTGAATCTCCATTTCATCTTTTCTTTGCCTCATCTCTGAGTTGATTCTTCATCTATAAAATGGCAATAATAACTGCTTACAGACTTGTGAAGCTAAAATGAACCACTAATGTATGCAAAGTTTATCAATGGCCTATAGTAAATATTCGATAAATGGTAGCTATGTTTTTCCCCCCATCTAAGGTCTCATTTCTTAGGTAGGAGCTACATTATTTAAGATATTCTCCCTGGTTTTCTATCACCAGTACAGATTTCTTCAGATGCCCAAATTACTTCTTTCTTATCTACTTAATTACTACTTTTATCAATTTGCTTATGTCCAGAGCTCTCCTATTAACTCCAGATCTGGGCACTCAAACTGCCTCCCCAGCCTCTATAACTAGATGTCTGAAAAGCTTCTCAATCTTAAAAAGATACCAGATGATGACGATCCTGATACCACCTTCTCTTCCCCAACCCCCTGCTACTCTCATGGCTTCCCAACCTCAGTCACGGCAACTCCGTTTTTACAGCCATATAAGACAAAAGCTTTGAAGTCACCCGTGACTCTTTCTCTTTCTCACTCTCAACAAAATCCTGTTTGCTCTATCTTTAAAATATATCCAGAATAGAACAACTCTCTACCTCCACTGCAACTATCCTGGCCTGCGATGGTTAATTTTCTGTACCAATTTGGCTGGGCTCTGGTACCTGGAAATTCAATCAAACATTACTCAGGATGTGTCTGTAAGGGTGTTTTTTGGATGGGATTAAAATTTAAATCTGTGGACTCTGAGTAAAGCATACTGCTCTCTGCAATGTGGGTGGGCTGCATCTAATCTGTTGGAGGTCCTAATAGAACAAATACTGGCCTCCTCTCCACAAGAAGGAATTCTGCCAGCAGACTCCCTTTGGACTCTGATGGACGACTGCTCTCTCCTGGGTCTCCAGCCTGCTGGACCACTCTATCAGATTTGGAACTCGTCAAGCCTCCACAATTGAGTGTGCCAATTCCTTAAATAAAGCTTCTTATATATATACCTTGCTAGTCTTGTTTCTGTAGAGAACCCTGACTAATACATGGTCCATCCATGTTGTCTCAAATGGCAAGATACACTTCTTTTTCATGGATGTGTAATATTTTAGCATTATCAATCTAGTTGGTTCTCTGTTCTTACACATGTTCTACTACAGCTTATTCTCAAAAAGCAGCAAGAGTGATCCTGTTAAGTCCAATTCAGGTCTCATCAGCTCTCTGCAGGGAATCCTTCAATGGCTTCCCCACATGATCCAAGTACAAACCCAAACTCCTCATGGTGACTTCCAAGGCTGCAAGTAATTTTCCCATCCCTGCCTCCTCTCTTACTTTATCCTTTACTATCCTCTTCCTGTATTCACTCTTCATTGTTACTTGAACACATCAGGTATGCTCCAACCTCAGGGCCTTTATACTTGCTATTCCCTCTGCCTGGATGGTCTTTTCCCAGATTCTACACAGCTAGTTCTTTCACTTTCTTTAGATCTTTACTCAAAAATCATCTCAGTGTGATATTCCCTGCTACAATTTCTAAAATTTCTATCTCCTCATTCTTTTTTTTTGTCTTCTCTTATGTACTTTCTCTTCTCTGGGTTTTCTTCCCCGTAATATTCATTCTCGCAGACTACATGTTTTACTTCTTTCTTCGCTATTACTACCTCCACCAAAAATGTAAGCTCAGTGAAGGCAGGGATTTTATCTGCTTGGTCACTGCTTTAACACAGCTTTTATAGCGAGGGCTCTTTAGTGAGGAGGTTGTGGCATCAGCAGGTTCCAGGCAATTCAAGCAAAACAAACAAGATGGTCCAGTTTGTTTGCAACAACAGTCTGGTGAGGAAGGTCCACATGAAGTGCAACACCAATGACACCATCAGTGACCTCAGGAAGCTGACTGCAGCCCACGCTGGTTCATGCTGGAATGAGATCGTGCTAAAGAAGTGGTATGCAATTTTTAAGGGGCATGTTTCTCTGGGAAACTATGAACCCCACGTGGGACGAACCTGGAGCTTTATTACCAAGAGAGCAGGACTCCTTCCCCTGGTCCTGCCCTGGTCCTGCCCTGCCCTCCCCTCCCCTCTTCTCCCACCCTCACCTACCATACCGGTGTGAACGTTTGTTTGTAAAAAGTCATGTTAATAAAAACTTGGAATTAGGAAAAAAAGAGACATTTTTTTCTAGAATGCCTGGCACATAGTAAATATTCAATATAAATTTAAGCGAAAGAAAAAACCTCAGAGCCTTCACTTACACTGCATTGTCTTTCAATTCTCTATCTGGGGGCTGCTGACTCCTCCTTTTCTGACTCCTCTGCTGCCCTGCTATTTACTCATCAGGCTCCACACTCATCAGAAACTTTTAAACTGAGGGTCTAGGCTGACACCTGAAACTCTCAACTCCATCAATCTGTCAAGGTTCTTCCTTTCCCTCAACTCTGTCAATCTGTCAGGTTTTTCGCGTCCCTCCTCAAGGACAGGTTGAAATCTTTATTAGAACAAAAACTTCCTAAACCTAAAAATTACAATGGAAGAATGACATCAACTTATTTTCAGACACAATTTTCTACTCTATTAGGTTCAAACTTACTTCCTATACACAATGTAAATGCACTGAGTACTAAGTCTAATATGCCTGTCTGCTTATATGATTGGTAAAATAAACAACCAGTCCAGTATCGAGTACTACTTAAATGGAATTATACTGGAAATGAAGCAATAATATATGTTTTATGTTTTTTTAAAAAGTGGCAAAAAAGTTCGAAATATATTATCACATTTTAGCAAGTGAAGGTAAAGAAGAAAAAGAAAAGAATGAAACAGAAAAACTGAGAGGTAGATGTTACATACATGTACTTTAAATCTGTTTTTTAATAAGCCACATTTTGATTTTTTGATTACTTAAGTTAGTATTAGTTTGAATTGCATTAATACAGTTAATAATTACTGTGTTCATTTATCTAGATATAATTTATTCATTTATTTATTCATGAAGCTTTGGTTATCAACTATGAACCAGACATGAGAAGTATAAAAATAATTAAAACATGGGTCTTACTTGAGTCTAGGGAGTGTATAAGCAGGTACATAAACAAAATAATTTTAATACAGTGTGATAAATATAATTATAAAGTATTAATTAAGGTCAGAAAAAGTATAATATTTACTTACATTAAAAAGTTGTTTTTTAGCATATGTTCTAATCTGTCCTTGTAAGAAAAGATAAAAAGGAAAATTTATTATTAAATGTAATTATTCCATTATATTAATTAACATATTTAAAGAGTGAACGTATTGGGCTTTATCCACAAAACTAATTACCTTTTGGTCAGGAGCTATGAATTTGTGACAGAGCTCAACATCTTCAGGACAATTTGAGAGAACCATCATTGTTGCAGACTTGAAGAGCCCCTCCATAACCTATGAGAAGTAACACAGAATTGCCTGACATGTGAGCTACTTTATATGAAAAATCTGTTTAGGGTATTGTAAGGATTGCTTTCCAAGTTTTAGCAACTATAAATCCATTAGACCTCTTAATCCTGAATGTACTACAGCAAGTTCAATTTTTCAGACTGATTAGAAGAGGAACTGCAACTTCTCAGAGTGGGTAAAAAGAGAAAGAAAGATGTTTAAATCCTTTGTTAACAGTTTCAATACTAATATTGAAGTAGAATGAAAAATAAACAGCTAAAACTGACAGATGCCTTTCTAAATTTCAGGTACTCACTTGCAGAACCGTAACAACAACAGCACCGGGCTTGCAGGATTGTTGTGAGTTAAATGAGATAATCCGTGTAGAGGACTTAGCTCAGTACTTGGCCCACAGAAGCACTCAACAAACACTGTGAAGAGTGAGACACTTTCAAAAGTGTTCATCCAGTCATTGGTAAATAGAACTAAACTTGAAAATTAGAGAGGCAATGAGGTATATCTATATCTAAGTATATAAATTTTTGCTTTGCTAAAGCATAAAGTAAAAATAACACATATAGGCTTACAGGGTGGGCAAAAGCAGGTTTACAGTTGTAAGTGAAACAGAATTCTTGTGTTATCATTTATTAATTAGTGTATTATTTTCCATACAAACTTTAAAATTACTTCTGCTCGTCCCGTATAAGAATTCATTCTACTAGAAGCATCCATAGAAATCTCATGGGAAAAACTTGTTCATAAAAGAAAAAAGTGATTGAAATGGAAAATTTCTAAAATGTTTTTAACCTAAACTACAATTTTTGGTCTGAAGTCAGTAAAACCCTATCAGACCCTCCAGACGCTGTACTCGTAAACACATGAAGAATTCTTAAGCACCGGAGCCGCACGGGCAGGAATCTTCCTTTCCTCTCTGGCATTTTTATATTTTACATTTTTATATTTGGACCAATATATAGTATTCAAAAGTAAAAAATAACCGGGTGAAAGATGAACAAAAGGAAGCTGAAGATTTTTTACCTTGAGGCTATATCACCTCCGATCTAGCAGTGAGATACAGAAATCACTAAGTAACTGAGTGGTTTCTGAAGAGCCATACCGCCAGTTACTAAAAAGAGCGATGCCTACCGGGAGAAACAAAGAACAGCAGGGCTGGACGGTGCACCTGAACTGCTGAGGGACGCAACACACTGACCTGTAGGGGGAAGACTCTGACCACTGGGGCTATTAAATCAGTGTCTTCCATAAGCAGTTGACCTCCATCTGAAGAAGTAAATCGCTGGCTTCTCTAACCCTGACTTTCAGACTATGCTCTATAAATATATCTGAAGGAAAAATAAACTTAACTGAAGGATTAGCATACCCCTCAGATGTTTTTAGAAATGTATTACTCAATGGCACTAAAATAGTAATATTTAATGGCTATATCTCATGAGGGAAAATTCCTCTGTTACAATATTCTAATTTAATATTTAAGAGACTGCTCTTCATCAAGATAATAATTTCCACAGAATGTAACTTATAAAGGGAGAAAATTTAAGAGAAGCAGGAGACCAATTTTGGGTGGAGCATAATTTTTTCATTTATTTCTAGGAGAAAAACTTACATTTTAATTAACTAAATCATTCACCAGCATATGCCCTGAGACCCACTGAGCAGAGTACCAAGTACGCAAGAATTATTTAGTTATAGAATGTATAATTATAAAGATTATAACATTTAATAAATTCTGACACGATTGGTGTATTGTTTTTGTAACCTTTCCCTCTGGAATCTATGTTGGACCACTGGAGACAGGGTCAAGGCAGAATGCACAGGGAGATAAAAGTATGGTTTTGTTCCTTATGATACGCTCATTATCTGAGTGAAAACAGAACTGGGTTGTGGGATCAAATTGAAAGCAGCTTAAGGAATTTTATGACTCCATGCGAGGCTCAGATCTGCATCCCTACAATCTAGCAAAGGGTTACCGAACAGTGTTACACCTGACATTTTTGGCTGGAGAATTCTCTATTGGGGAGAGTGGGCTGTGCATTGTAGGATGCTCAACAACATCCTTAGATTTACCCACTAGATGCCATTAGCAACTGCTCTTCCCCACTCTCCAGCAGGGGCAACCAAACGTGGCCTCTGGGGGACACTGAGCTACAGCAATAGCAGGAGATGTTAAAGGGGTGTGGAAGCAGGTGCTCTGGTATGTGGTCAGACACCCCATCAGGACCAAGAGCTTTCTCTGTTGGGCATGTTCACTGCCGATGATTCACGGTCAACTCCTTCAGGAAGAGACCAGGCCAAGAGTGCTGTTTTACCCATGGTTACGCCTCTTCCCAAGGCTAGCTGATGTCCAATGACTGGTTCACAGCAGGAAACGCCAATGCTCACCCCTACACCTCCATACAGGACAGCTCTGAAAAACCGTTTCAGTTCCGAAGTCCCTCAGAGAACGGGCTGAGGCCTCTGTCTGTAAATGCATCACAGTTTACCTTCCCCCCGCTCAGTGCTGCTTTCTTCCTTTCCCTACACGTGCTGTTCTCCAGAGCACTTCCCAATAACCCCCCATATGCTAATCTCTGCTTTAGACTTTGTTTACTAGAAAACCCAACCTAAGATGGGATAATAAAATAGCCCATTCGGTTTGGTGGTATATTTGGTATTAAGATTTTAAGTGAAATTGGGTCATTTACTGGGTGAGTGAGAAGGATGTGTAGATAAATAGAAGTGACAGCTGATAAAAACTGCTAAAATAAACATCTTGTAATGATAAATCCAAACTAAGATGCTAACCAAAATGGTAATGAATAGAGAATTCATAATAACAACCCAATAATTTCTGGGTACTTATTAAGTGCCATGAACTATGCTAAATGCCTTATATATATTATCTGTCTAATCTTCTTAACTATCCTGCTGAAGTAGGAATTATCATTCCCATTTTATAGGTAAGGAAACTGAGGTGCAGAGAAATAAGTCCCTTGTCTAAGGCACACAGTAAGTAACTGATGGAGTTAAGAATCAAACCCTGTCCACTCAACTCCAGAGTTTGTGTGCTTCTTCTGGATTATGGCCACAGCCTCCTAAAAAGGCTCCTGCTTTTATTTTTATATCCCTCTAAATCATTCTTCATGTTGCTGCTAGAGAGATTTTTCTAAAATATAACTCTGGCCACGGCCTTTTCCACTGAGGACTCCTTCTCCTTTACCTTTTGGATTAAATTTAAACCCCTTAGCATGACATTTAAATATAAAGTCTTTCTTTCATGATCAGATTCTTGACTACCTGTCCAGCCTTGTTCCTTGTCCCCTAAACAAAGCTCTGCAGCAGCTGTGGATGTGTTCTAATATAGCTACAAAGAAGGTTCTCCTGGCATAAAGATGTTTTATTTATTTGCCTATGAAATAATGAGAGCTACTATTTGTTGAGACTGCTATGTGCCTGACCTTGTACTAGAGGTGCTTCCTAGTATATACACTGTTTCTTTTACTCCTCACAATAACCTTATAAAATAGGTACTATTATTCCCATTTTACAGTTGAGGAAGCTGAAGACCACCAAGGTGAGGTAACATCATAACAAGTTACTGGCAGGCCTGGGAAAAGAAATCTATCCAGCTATTGCACTAAAGGCATTCATTAGATGCTTATTAAATTAAGTAGCTCTTTATCTTTTTCATTCTATGAATACCTATAATGCACAGATATAAAAATGTATACAGAAGTATTCTCATGGCATAGATGCCTGACATTTAGAAACTATTTTAAAACTTGTGTACCTACCTGCATGAGATCTTGAAGGCTCTCAACAAAAGAAATCTCTGCTTCTACCATATAAAACTCTGCCAGGTGTCTCCGGCTCTGAGAATTCTCTGCTCGAAATGTTGGGCCAAAGGTAAACACTTGAGTAAAAGCTCTGCAATTCAAGATTAAGAGTATAAAAATAGGATTCACATGATTAATTTCAAGTATTTAAAATACTCAGTGAGCTCTTAATAAAAAAAGTTTTGTGCCTCTGTCTTGTCCCATATCCACATATTAGCTGCTGTATTTCTCTAATGGATGATAATAATAGTTTCATTAAAAATGTTACATTTATAGAAACAATTTTATCCTGAAGGAATCTGCAAATGTTTTACAAACCCTATGGCTCACTAAATATAGAATTGTCACTTCACTGCAGCTGCCCCGAACAACAGCAACCACATTTCACAGCAATCAAGAACAAAGTAAAGGAAAAATGCCACAGCTCAAGACGCCACACAAAGAATCTAGATAGTAGCGGTTAAAACTAGAATTTCATCTGGATAAAGTGTGCTAAATAGCCCTGGCTGGTGTGGCTCAGTGCTTGAGTGCTGGCCTGAGAACCACATGGTTGCCGGTTCGCTTCCCAGTCAGGGCGCATGCCTGGGTTGCAGGCCAGGTCCCCAGTAGGGGGACACATGAGAGGCCAGCACACACTGACGTTTCTCTCCCCCTTTTTCTCCCTCCCTTCCCCTCTCTCCAAAAATAAACAAAATCTTTTTTTAAAAAGGTGTGCTAATAATTACTTTTTAAATATGTGGGGGGAAAAAGAGTATCAGATATATAAGGTGATTTGCCTTGTTTACAGCCTGCCAAAGTCCTTCACAACCGCCCAAGTGTTTCACTCAAATTTGGGGGTAAGGAAAGACCTGTCTACTTAATTCTCTGGTTTTCGAAAAGAACTATAGCTCAACAATCTAAACATGAAAACAATATTTTTAAATTCCTACAGAAGTAGACACTACCTCATTCTTTAACACTTACAGTCATTCCTCTCATACAAAAACAGGGCAACAACTGAGATAAGATCAAATATATATGAAGTAATGAATATTTCTTGAGGACTACCTAATATTTGAATTTTAAGTTTCTGCTAGAGCAAAAAAAGAGGTCTGGGGTTCTTCGGCTATTATCCTTAGCATTCTTCGCTTGTTTGTCATCAGTGAAATAACATTAAGATCAGAAAACATAGTGCAGAAAATAGACAGACTGTGAATATACATACCAGTTTTTGGTTCTTTTTTAAGTAGAGATACTCTGGGAAGTGAATTGGAACACAATCATAGAGGAAATCAAAAGATTTTTTTTTTCTTTCAAAAGGTCGTATCAGTTAAGGCCTACTTGGTAAGAAGCTTAGAAATTTATGTTTTGGTTCTACTGCCACCTTCCTGAGACCATAATCAGTTGACCTGTGAGAACCTTAGCCTCTAATGGAAAAACAAGCAGTAAAAACTCAGGAATATTACTATGGTAACGTCTTTCCCAAGATTCAGATCCAGACTCGCCAACCAGAATGTCCCTGAAAAGACTGAACATACCTTGTGAAAAAGAAAATTCTTGCCATGCTTCCCCAAATAAAAAACAAAAATAGTGAACAATCCTGCTTTTGTTTTTACATTTCCCCCAATTCTGCTAATTGCAATTAATCCTCTGAGTCACCCAAACCACATCTTCCCACCCCCCCACTGCCCACATTTCCCGTATCATTCTGAGCACAAAATTACATTGTTTACACCTAGGAAAGCTCTCTGAAATCTAGAGACTTTTCTTTATCTCCACAGATACTGTCTTAGTGTAAATAAACTCCTGTGTTTTGCTTGGAAAACTACAACAGCTCTTTAACTGGGGCCTGCCACCTGTCTTTCTTCCTGCAGCCCCCAACTGCTGTGATTACATACAGACCTGATTATACCAACCCTAATTTAAAAATCCCCCACTGTGCAAAGGATGAAATTCAAACTCCCGACTTTGACTCAACTCCTTTCACAAAGGTTTTTCTCCAGTGGCAATGAAGACATTCTCCTTACACGGTGTGCCCCTGCATGATGCGAGACTTTCACGTAGGTCGTGCCCTGCTCTCTAATGCCCATCGCTGCTCCTCTGTCTCCACATGGCAAATTCAACTGCCCAATGCAGTATGAAGATGATGTTGTGTTGAGTCGTACACTTTAAATGTGCATGGTTTTGTTAACCAATGTCACTCCAATAAACTCAATAATCAATCAATCAAACAAACAAAACTATAGGTAATAAAAAAAAAGGGGGCAAATTCTTATCTAACCTTCAGAGCTTGGCTCAAATGTCACTCTCTCTTTGTAACTTTGCCATTCAGCCCCAAATTAACTGTGCCCTTTTTTATATGACTATAATACTTTATTCATATATTTATTACATAGAACATAGCACTTTGACATTATTCATTTCAGTATCTTTCTCCCCCAATAAACCATGAAACTTTCCAGGGCAGGAATCATGTTTTATTCATGTTTGCATCTCCAGTGCCTAAGATGAAACAGATGCTCAAGCTGAATGAATGAGCACTAACGATGATGACAGGCTTCCTCAGTTGTAAACTGGAAAAGCCCAGCATCCTTGCAAACAGCAACATTACAAATACGTACAAAAAAAACACTTAAATATACAGGGTGGGGCAAAAGCAGGTTTACCGTTGTGAGGACGCCAAACATAGTTTATCCTGGTGTTATTTTCCATACAAACCACTGTCAACCTAATTTTGCCCCACCCTGTATTTTTTTTTTAATATTTTCTTTCTTTATTTTTTAGAGAGAGGAAGAAGAAAAATGGGAAAGAAAGCTGCCCCCGGTCCCTCACACCTCCCTCCACCCCAGGCCCACCCTGTATTTTACTGTGCCCGTTACCCAGTACCCAAAATGGGTCAAACAATCTAGATTGGTCCCAAACAACAATTCAAAAATAAGAAGGCCTCATATTTCCAATCTATGACTGTGCAACCTCTAGGTGGATTGTCGATAGTATATCTAAATAAATAAAATGACATTTCTTTCTGGTATTGCGTCACAAAAAATTGTGTATACAGATGCACACTAACAATAAAAAAATTTTATTGAGATTTTCCAGGGTGTAAGTAGAAATGAGGTGAACTCAGTAAATTCACTTTGGGGGCTGTGAGGGCAATTTACGAGAAATGGGCAGTTTCTGAAATACAAGGGAGGCCAAGGAATGGCTGCTCAAAAGGAACATGTCATTTGTGTTACACCAGGCAAAAGGAAACAGTGGTTTCTAAAAGGACCAGAAATTCCAGTCAGGAGGGCATCTGCTCCTCACAGGGCAATGCTACATAGGGTGCTCCAAAAAGAGTAGCGAAAGGGATGTTTTATTTAACAATGGTTAATAATTTCCCCTAGCAGTGTGGGGCAAGCTCTCTAGTATAAAATATAGAAGAGAATCAGGGATTTTATTTTAATCATGGTAAAGATCAACCTCTAATTGAGGTACCCAAGAGTTAAGTATTATTCTACTCCAATAAGTAGAAATGATGGCTACGGTACTTGCTCTGAATTAACAGAAAGATCAAATGAGCTGGAAGCTATGTTGAAAATTGCCTAAGTCAGCATCCAGTCTTTAAGCAGATGAATGTTTAAATCATAAGGGTCACCCATGTTAGTACTCTGTGTTCTATTAGACAAGCAGTGACAGTAGCAGTAGTGGCAGTGGCTGCCATTAGCAAGTGCTCCTTGTGGGCCAGGCATTAGACGTAAGAACCTTACAGTCAGCTCCTTTATACTTAACTCAATTAACTATGTATTGTTATTTCTATTTTTCAGGCTAAGAAACGAAAGCCCAGAGAGGTTAAAAAGCGTTCCCAAAAGTCATGGAATCAGCCTAATAAGTGATAGAGGTCGATTCAAATCCAGATCTGACGCTAACAGTCACAGGTTAATTATGACATTAACATAACGACGCTCCTAACTGAACACTGGCAGCCCCTCCTCCAAGATAACCAGGGTAAGTGGTTTGGTATATTTTCCTTCCTTGTGAATAGCTTATTTGTTTTATGTGTTAAAATTACAGCTCTCTAGGATATATTGCCTTCATGTAAATAATGAGAATGATAAATTTTCATCAATACTTTGTAACATTTAGCAAGTCATTTAATCTTTGTGGTCCTGAAATTCTTCCATAAGTGAGAGATGGGGCAAGTTTGGCATTAATTTCTAGTATCTTTGCAATGATTTCTATCTCTAGGTCCATGTGAAATTTCTCTTATTTTATGTTGATCAAAAAATTTTTTTCTCTGTCTTCCACAGACATGAAAGCCATTTGCAGCAAGGCTTGGACCAGCCAACATTTAAAATAAAATCTGAGAATAAGCCCATTCTCAGACAAGGGCTTATTTCTAAAATAAGACACAAAATCAGGTGAAAGGCCAGTACTGCAGTGAGAAGAAAGCAGCAGAAAGAGAAACACTCAGCACTACGAAGCGTTCTTGTGCCAAAGTATGGGGCGAAGAAAGCTATATAAGGAAGGTCCATGAGCTAGGAGTCAATGCTTAAGATAACAAAAGTACACTCCATACACACCGACCAAGGCAGCTACAAAAACGGCTTAAAAAAAAATAAAAAGTAGTTAACCGAAAAAGGTTCTTCAAAGGTCATTTTCTCCCTTGTGTGGTTTTATGAGGCTCTAACTTGGCAAGTGGAATACTATAAAATGGTCCCTGATTGCCTGGCCATTTTTTCTCTCTGGCCCTACAATTTAAGAGCTGATCTTTACATTTTGAAAGAAAGAGGAATTATTTTTCTTTAGCTGGGGAAGAACCTAATCAGCATAAGTTGGATCAGCAACTTTCCCTCAGTCCTCCAACGTCCAGCCCCTGTCACTTCTCTACTGTCAGTTTAGTCAAGTTTACTGAACTCAAGTGAACTCACAGGCAGCTTTAAAATGGCTTATATTTCTAACTTTTTAAAAGAGAGACAAAGGGAGAGAGGAAGGCAGAGAGGCAGAGAGGGAAGAAGGAAGGAAGAGAGAGAGAGGGAGGGAGGGAGGGAGGGAGGGAGGGAGGGGAGGGAGGGGAGGGAGGGAGGAGAGGGAGGGAGGGAGGGGAGGGAGGGAGGAGGGAGGGGAGGGAGG